CGTCAGGGGCTGCGCCTACGAGGTGTCTCTGCCACGGGCAACCTGTTCTATATGTACCAAAGTGCCTTGCTGTGGAGATGCCCCCAGGGGCACCCTGCCATGGCATGGTCTTCGACGCGCTGCAGGATCCGAAGTGCCATCGGCCCCGACATCGTCTGCGCCACACGGCGCTGTACACGACGAAGGGATTTCCTGAGCTTCGACATCAATTGGACGCGCTGAGGGTGGTGTGGAGCTGGACGCGCGGACGCCTGGCCTGGGAGACCCTGCTCTAGGTGGCCCGACCCAAGCCCTCTTGACGGACAAATGGAAGCACTGGCATGCACGAGCGGAGCTGGCACTCAAGTTAGCCGTCGAGCATGACTACGCATCAGTGGGGGCGTTGAGCGAGAGAGCCAAGGGCTCGGCTCCTTCGACGAAGCCGACGTGTCATGGTGCACCCCATCGGCCTGCACAGACCATCGCATTGCGCCGTCTACTATGACTCCACCGCCAGGTGGCAGAGCACATCAAGCAAGACCCGACCTTGGCCTTCCAGAGCTAGGCTGGTCCTCTCTTCGAGCGTTTCGCACGAGCAGGATGGGAAGGGCTGTTCGCAATGCCACTCGCTCTACGGGGTTCCGAGGCACGCGGAGGCCCTGGGCCGGCTGAGCGCTGGCGCTGCCCAGCAACAGCGCCGCACGCAAGAAGCTCAGTATCGTGAGTGGAGGAAGCGATTCGCCAGCTGGACGAAGGATATCTATAAGTTAGCTACCCCGCTCTTCAGGGCGTCACCACCGACGGCCCCAGCGGGCGCCGCCGAGATGCACCAGGAATGGGAACAACAATGGGCCCCATATCCTGCTCAACATGACGCTGCTGGCCACTTTGTGAAGTGGCAAGAATGGGCTGCGGACGTTTCCTTCCCTCAAGCTACACAAGGGGAACACTGCTACACAAGGGGAGAACTGGTTGCCCAACTTTGAGCAATTTGATCATATTCTTGCAAAGTGCCACGGAACTCTTGGACTGGACGGCTGGACGGCCATGGAGCTGAAGTTACTGCGACGCGTATGACCCGACATGATTGTCCAGCTGCACGAGCTCTGGTGCGACACCAGCCGCGAGTGCGCGGACGCCCAGGGCATCCTTGACCAGGACACCTTGGACGTGATCTTCCCATGGAGGGTGGTGGGGATTCCCAAAAGTAAAGTTGCATTTCGTCCCATCTCTGTGGGCTCAATGCTGGTTCGCGTCTGGCTCCCAGCTCTGTCGGCAGGGATGCCGCAGCCTCCAGACAATCAGTACGCAGGACGTATCGCGACAAGTGTAGTCCATGCGATCATCTGTTGGTTACACTCTTGTGAGGCTGCAGAGGCTGGTGCCGAAGTGGATCTCAGCAGAGCTTACGACAATATTGATCACGCAGTGGGAGCTCAGGCGTGTATTTGTTCAGGGGCTCCGCCTGCGGTGACGTTTACTGCGGTGGCGGCCTGGAGGGCCTTCAGCTATTGCAGTATGAATTCTTCTTTGGCGCCGCCGATCTGGCCCACTCGAGGGCTTCCTCAGGGGGATTCGGTGGCCCCTGCTACGATGATCGCGGCGTTTGCGCCGTGGCAACCGCCTGTGGGCTACGCCTTCATGGACGACAGGTCTCTCACCTCCACCTCGGCGGAGGAGTTGGCCAGGGACCTGAACTACACCCAGCGCTTCGGCAATGATGTCGGTTTCAAGGAGAACGTGCGCAAGCGTCAGATGTGGGCTCGTACGGATCGCCCTCCCAGGGTGGTGGAGCACCTCGGGATCGTGGCGACGCCGGCAGACGCTTCACGACCAATCCAGCCTCGAGGTGGATGGGACAAGCTTCGCACTGCGAACCGAGTGCTGGGCACGGTGCCAGGTGGCGCTGAGATCCGTGCGAAGCTTGCAGTAGCAAATCTTCGCCCGCTGTGGCTCTGGGCTTGCCCGCTAGTGGCGCCACCGCCAGTGTCGACGTGCAGATCTTTGTACAGATCGATTACGCGCTCGACAAAGAAGTGGTGGTGCTAAGGGAGACGGTGGGCACAACATGTACACGTACATCCACGTCTGTCAGGTGCTATGCAGGCTTTCAAAATTATCCCGCAGGAGCGGCTCGTGTGGTCGACCTTCATGGAGCATGCTATGAATACGCACGCCCAGATGCTGGGCCTTCAATGTATTTCGTACGCTGACCGGCGGGTGTGCTGTCTCGAAGTGAGTGATATCGACGACCACAGAGTGGTGAAGATGCTGGTGGGAGTGGTGGACCAGAGAAGGAGGTTCTGGACACATCGACCCGACCTCCCACGCTACGGAAAGACGATCGAGCACCTACTTCGCTGTGTGGCGAGGATCAGATGCTTGGCAGAGGTCAACGACAGGAGGTTCGATGCGGAGGAGATTCTCGACGTGGACGTGGATGCCGAGTCGAACCTGATATTCGCCGGCCCAACGGGCCAGAGGCGTGCTAAGATCTCCGGTAACTGCTTAACAATATTCTACTTCGCGCGCGCTGGGCAGCCCCCTGGGGGTCTCCGGGCGAAAAGTACCCCGGCAGGGTCCCGGCAGACTCGGGTCAGAGATGGTTTTCGGGGCAATTTTTCAACACCCCTCACGAGGATCGTGGCCTCCGAGGAGGGAGCCGCAATTGACTACCCCCCCTCCCGCCCCAAGAGGCCCCCAAGAGCCCTCCAAGAGGCCCTGTGGGCCCCCAAGACGTCGCCAAGGAGCCCCAAGAGACTCCCAATAGGTCCCCAAGAGGCCCTAAAGAGGGCTCCGGGGCCGGCGGAATGAGCGAAGCGATTAAATATAAAAGATGATTCAAGCGTCTTGGGGAGGACGAACGACGACTGGTACGTATGTATCGTGCTGGAGCGGTGTCCTCGGAGACGCGCAGATGCTCGGGGAAAGAGAGCCGACAGTGCGGCGCTGCATCCCCATCGTTCCCACACTACTGGGCAGATTTCCCCACATATCACTTCGCAAGGGCTGGCATCGCCAGAAGATACGAACTACCCCTGGATTGGTGGTCTACTGCACTGAGGGTTCTGGCGAAGTCGGGGTGAGTGTGTTTCTCCGACGGCCAGAGTCAGACTGAACTTGCGACCGAGCTCACAGCAGCTGTTGAGATGGCGATGGTGGTCCTGGGCACCGACATGGCTGAAAGGCTACATCCTCTTGACCGCGACCGTCCGCAGGATGGTCGAGGGGCTCGAGTTTGATTTCCATCATTGTGGAGGTACTCCAGAGTTCGGGTACTCCACGTTCACCATCTTCTTCTCCCCGAACGATGATCATCGCTATTACCATGGACAATGGCATCGCCCTTCAGTAACCATCGCGACCCACTTGCAATGCGCGCTCCTTGTCCTAAGCCGAACAGTCATAGGTGCATGTTGCACTTGATTCTGGCTGTTGGACTATTCAGCGAATGAATGGGCAAACGGGTGGTATCGATCGGCAAGCGATCACTGCTTCATGTGCGAAAATCTAACAGATCCTAAATTCCTGTTGCCGGCGACATCGTTGCCAATGCGACGGGCCGAACTATTCTGTCCACAAACATGGTCCAATGACAACTGATGTGTAACTGATAATAAGTCCAGATGCGGGGCTGAGTCGTAACGGTACAATTCCAGTTACATTCTGGTTATACACAGGCTGAAAATAAGATAGCTACGACAGGGTCACATGTTGAATCGATTTGATTCGGCCACTTGTATCGCTCACTTGCCCGATTTGCAACCTGAGTTGTCTAGGTCAGAAATATTTGTTATAAACACCCAAAGCTGCCCGCCTGTAGAACGAGGCCCCCCTGTTCCGTTCCTGGCGAGAACCGGGAAATCCAGCGAATCGGGGGACGAATTCCAAACCAGCACTGGTCGCGTGGGACATCCTCAGAAAAAAACGTCCCCTGAAGTCTCTCCATGGGGAAGCTCTCAGAGTGCTCCCTGTTCCGTTCCCAGCGAGATGTGGGAAATCCAACGAATCTGGCGACGAATTCCAAACCGGCGCCCTCGCATGGGACTTCCTCAGAAAAACCGCAAAGTCTCCCCAAGAAGGCCCTCAGAGGCCCCCCCCCATAAGCCTCCCCAAAGAGGCCCTCAGAGGCCCCCCTGCTCCGTTTCCGGCGAGACTCGGGAAAATCCCCCAGGGGGGCAGGGGGACACGGGGGAAAAGGAGGAGAGGGAGGAGGAGGAGGAGGCAGAGGAAGAAGAGGAGGAGGCTGAGGTGGTGGAGATTGCCAGCATGGCAGCGGGGGCGCCACCGAACCCTCAAGGACCATTTCCGGGGGTGTGCCGTGGCGCGCAAGGTTGTCGAGGGAGGTCCCCGAGGACTTTGACGAGGATGAGGAGCAAGAGCGGATGAGGAGGAGGAGGAGGAGGAGGAGGAGGAGGAGGAGGAGGAGGAGGTCGCCAGCATGGGAGCGTGAGGGGCTGCATGCCTGAACGTTCAGGGCCCCACCGCGCCACCAGGGACCATGTCCAGGGACCGGATCTGCCAGCGCGCACGGGGCTCTCGCTCGCGACAACCCGCCAAGTCGATCCCCAGTGCTCGTGCAAGTCAGGCCCCAAGCGCCCACAAGGACAATTTCCGAGGCTCTGCCAGCTCGCGCCGGCGCGCGCCGAGGCGCACCAGGCGTGCCCCATGCTCCTCACTCTCCTGATTCTCGCTCTCCTCACCCTCACCCTCCAGCTTCACGATATTGTTCCTCGCCCTCCTCTTTCTCATTCTCCTGATCCTCCCTCGTCTCGTGATCCTCGCTCTGCTGATCCTCGCTTTCCTCTGCTGGTCCTCTTCTCCTGCTCCACGCCCGGCCGGTCCTCACCCTCCTGATTTTCATTCACGACATCCTCTCCTCCCTGGCCCTGCTTCTCGACATCCTCACCCTCCTGCTCCACGCTCGCCTGATCCTCACCCGCGTGACCCTCACTCTCCTGATCCTCCCACTCGCGAGCCTCGCCTTCCTGATCCTCACGCTCATTCTCGTCTCGATCATTTTCCTCTCGCACAGAAACGCACGCCCCTTCGTCTATATACAGAAACTCCCGGTCAACCGCAGAGCGGCCTGCTAGTAATCTACGCAGTGCGCTCGTACAACCTAGGCGGTGCAACCAACGTAATGCAATCTAGGTGGTGCAACCCCTGTAGTGCGATCGACGTGACGCAGAACAGTGCCAAGCAATGCAACACAATGCGACGCAATGCATAAATATGCAGAGATGCGAAACAGCGCAAAGCAACGTCAATCAATCCAAGACAATGCAACACGCGAGCCTCGCACACTTAAACAATCGTGACCAAGGACGGCGGAGATGGGCGACAACGGGCGGCCACAAGCCAGCCACACCGACAACCAGGCCCAGTTCCTCAGAAATGCGACCCACTAAGTGCACGCACTGTGTGGAGAAGGAAGAGGATGTGGGAGAAGGAGGACGAGGACGAACAGCAGCAACAGGAACTGGAAAGGAAAGAGCGGGAGTTGAAGGAGGACCAGGGGAAGGCGAAGGATGCGGAAATGAAAGAGCGAACGATGAAAACGGACAGGGATTAAGAACAGTGGCGCACGCTGGGGCGAGAACGCCACTCTGATCGACGGGGGCAAATCGCCGATCTGAAAATGAGGCCCATGCTACAGCGGGATTATTATTTTGAAACACCCAAAACAATCGGATTGTAAACCAAACCCTGTTGTAGCCGTATGCGAGAACCGATGCGCGGAGAGGGCGGGACATCTCCCGTACAGAGTCAGGGGAGAGAAGATGGGATAGGATGGGACGGCGCCTCAAGACAGTCGAAACGGGCAGGAACAACACGAAAAGAGAGACAGAACAATGGTCGAGCAAGCACTGCTGGCGAAAGGCTCGAAACGCAGGTATGCGGCGTCACCTGGGGCTGCGCTGCACGCGCTACCCTCCAGGCCGTGCCTCCCCCCAGACGAGGGGAGTTCACCGTGGCCACCCCCTGAGAGGTATGCAGCATCACCTGGGACCGCGCACAGCGCTATCCTCCAGGCTGCGCCTCCTGCCACACGCAGGAAGACCGCCGAAACCACTCCCTCAACAGTGCGCCCGACGCACAGCAAAGAGGCTCACGCACCGCCACGGCCGCCTAGGCAGCGGCGGCGAGGAGCACACCTGTACTTCTCTAGGAGACCCTGTTGCGACTCCAGGCTCAAGCACGCAAGCGAGTCGAGCGTCCCATCGCTCACATCAGGGTTGATCTCACGCACTACGGCGAGCAGCTCATGGCACACACTCGCATAGGGGAGAGCGCCTTTCTCCACCTTGGTGCCGTCCGCGTCCTCGAGAGGGCAATCGTCGTCTGCCTCCTCCTCGTCCGCGTCCAGGCCGCACGAGTCCGAGCCGTCCTCGACCGCCTCGCACTCCACCTTCTGCTGCTACTTGGGCATGGCATCCTGCTCCAGGGAGTGCGACGCCTCGCCGATCTTCTCATTATGCTTCAAGATCTGCTCGTCCTGCACCTCCACGGTCGTCTGCAGCAGCTTCTCGCACTTGACGGTCTTACGAGTGCCGTCATTCTCCAGGACCTTTTCCACGCAGTGCAACTCCGGCACTGAGTCCTCAGGCGCCTCCACGCCCCTCTCCTGGAAGGCCTGGGGCACCTCCTCGATCTTCTCCACGTGATGCGCCGCCTGCGCGTGGACCACGGGCACGGCCACGGACTTCCATGTGCGGCTCCATGTGGCCGCCGTCCACGAGCGGCGCCACAACGCCAACGATGCCCTGGACGTCCGCCCGCAGAGTCATGGTGATGTCCTTGATGTCAGCGATGGCCTCCAGGACCTTGTCACAGGATCCATCCTCGACCACGGCGTTGTCCTCCGGCTGGGACTCCCCCATGCCCGCCCCGCTGTCGACCAGCAGCGGGGAAGCCAGGATGTTGCCGAATTGCTCCTCCTTGAGCTAGAGCTCCTCCTCCCCCGACTCCATGTTGGAGGATATGTCGTAGCTCACCACGCCGTGCGACCAGGAGCTGTTCGCGTCAACCTTGACGGACCCCACAAACGCCTCGTGGATGTCCTGGCACAGCAACACGTCGGGGTGTCCCGCCGTGTTGCGCAGCTTCGAGACCTTCCCGAGCCGCGAGGCGAGCGCGGCCGCGCCACGCCCACGAAGAAGAGCCTTGGCCTCCGACACGCTGGGCTTCGCCGCGAGGCCCGCACATGCCTGGACCTCGCGCAGTAGGACCTCCATGGAGACGAGAGCCGTCTCAACCGGCGACGCGGCGGGGGGCGGCGCGCCTCCCTCGCCAGCGTCTTGCGGAACTTGACCGCCAGCCACAGCTCCTTGCACTGCACTGCGCGCGGCCGCCGCGACGGCCGCCTGCAGCGCCTTCCCGGAAAGCCCAGCCTGCGAGCAGCCGAGCACCGCGCCGAGGACCGCCTGCGCAGCAGGCGGCAAGCTGCCGGACATGGCAAGCTTCCGCACGGGGGGCCGCCGCCGCGGCCGACTCATGTCCAATGGTTTCAGCCAAAATGGCTACGGACAGGGGAGAGAGGAGAGTAGCATTCAAAATGTGAGCGACAAACATCAGAAGGGTGCTCCGCGAGATGACAGAGCGACCTTCCGCCACGGCTTACGTGTGCCGCCTTCGCGGCCACATTGGAGACAAGGGCGCTCACGCGCGACCTTACGCGGGCAGCTTACGCGCGAGTATCCGCGCAAACGACCCCATATATATATATATATATATATATATATATATATATATAGGCTCGTGTGGAGTTGTGGCGGGAGAAGGGGGGCACCCCTTTGGTGCGCTTCCCTGTGGCTCCCGCCCCTTCTCGATCCCACCCTCTTCTGGTAGGAGCCCAGTGACGCCACGGTGGCAGAACGACCTCGCTGACCGTACTCCCTTTTATGCACAGGGCACACGGCGAAGACAGACACAGCCGAGATCGCGTCCAACTTATTCGAGTCGAGGGCTGGAAGGATGCAGCTGGAGGAGGGAAAGGGGGGGGGCTAGGTGGGTGGACGGGGGAGAGAAACGACGTCTATCATCGCTCGGTATCGCGGTCCTGCGGGGAGCAAGCTGTATTATCAGGGCCCGTACCCTACTGGCGCCCCATGGCTCCGCCGACTGTCCGCAACCTCCTGTGCAAAGCACGTCATCCATGATCTCGCTCCTGCCTCTCCCTGCTCCTCGTCCTCCTCCTCCTCCTCCTCCTCCCTCGTTCCTCCTCCTACTACTGTTCCTCCTCCTCCTCCTCCTCCTCCTCCTCCTTATCTTCCTCCTACACGGGCGCGCATTGCTGCAGCCCTGCCAGGTCCGCGCCCCGCTGAACAAGCGCTCGGCGGAGAGATGGCGCCCTCGGAGCAGGCTGATCTCCTGCCGGAGGCCACGGGGGAAGGGAGACGAGGGGAGGGCTGCGGAAAGGGCGAGGAGGAGGTGGGGGAGCGGAGAAGGCGGCGGCGGCGCTCCGCAAGAGTCCGATGTGGGTCGAACTAGGGAGATAAGAGGGTGGAGGAGGAGGAGGAGGAGGAGGAGGAGGAGGAGCGACAGGAGGAGGAAGAGGAGGAACAGAGAGGAGTAGGAGGAGGAGGAGCAGCCCTGCGGGCCATTTTTGGCTCAAGAGCTGGCCCTGCGGGTTGGCGCAGGCAACGGCATCGTCTGTAAAGGCTTTTGTACATATACCGCATATCGCGGTCTCTTGTCCAGAAATGGCTTCTCTCTTACTCGGCATCCACGGCTAGGCACTGCGCGCGGTTTACGCGGCTACTGGGCAACACCATGAAGGGTTGACGCACGCAGCTCGGGCAGCGCGGCGGGCCAACATACTGGAGTGCCTTGACATTGCCTTCAACCACGTGCGGCACGTCACGGGTCCGAAGACACAATCCTTCATACAGGATCTGAACATTGCCCTCGGAGGAGGCATCACGAGCGAACTGCGGCGAGATGTGCCTGTCTTCACCCAAGGCCTCATCCCCGCACCAGAAAATCTTGAAACGTGGATGCCACACAACACATGTCTCCTTCGGCCCCTCCCTAGGCTTCACCCGTGGCGCCGACCGCAGCGACGAACGACAACGACCATCCAGAGAACGACCACTGGGATCCAGGGTGCCAGAAGGAAAACGCAGAGTGCCAGCAAAGGGACCCGAAGCAGGGCAAGGATGGGGAGGAGGGCCAGGAGGCTGCTTGGGAAGTACGGGCGGCATTGGCGGCTTAGGAGGGGGCGGATGATGCGGCTGCTGTGGACGAGTCGGACGCACACGAGCTGGGGGGCGCGGAGGAGGCAGGAAGGGTCGCCAGCAACCCCGCCGCGGCCTGCGGTAGCCCCGCGGCAGCTGCCGGTCCCCATGCCGAGGCTGGCCCAGAGGCAGAGGCGGAGGCTGACCGCCATGGCGAGGCCGAAGGCCAAGCGGAGGATGCCGAGCGCCAAGTCGAGCCGGCCAAAGCTGCCGCGGGCGGCGACACGCTGAAGCCGCGCGGGCCGCAAGCGTTGCTCGCCCAGCGAGAACGGTCCGCTCCGCCATCGCTGGGCTGGAGGATGCCGGCGGATGGGTAGCACCGCGTGCCATCCCGCGAGAGGCCGCGCGGGCCGCGCACGGCGCCCGACCAGAGAGGGCAATCCGCTTCGCCATCGAGGATGCTGACGGGGAAACGACACCGTTGCTGTGAGCCGCCGCTCGCCCACAGGCGGTGAGCCGTCACCTTGTCGAAAGCAGCGCACCTCCCAGTCAACCCACATCTACTTTCATTCGTCTGGTTCCCTCTTCTTTGTCTGCCCTGCCTCCTTCCTCCTCCTCCGAATAGGCACTCCCCCAACCTTCCCATCCATGCCTTCATGTTTTTCCTCCTCGTCCTTCACCTTCCTCTTACTCTGCGACAGGCAGGGTGGGCTCGATGGATGGAGACTGCGGGTTGAGCGAGGCAGGTATTCAACGGTGCGGCGCTCGGCGCCACAGTTGCCGAGGCAGTTGCAATTGCCAGTTCGCTTTGCACGCTATGGGGGATTTTTCGACATCGGGGTCGATTCGCGCCTGCAACTGCAACCCACAATGCCGCGTCACTGTTGCCCCAAACGTGCGTCCGGCCAGACTTAAGCATGCAGTAGGCACTCCCCAAACCTTCCCCTCCTTGCCTGCCCGCCCACTTGCCTGTATTTTGCTCCTGCTGTCCCTCCTCGTCCTTCTCATTCCTCCTCCTGTGGGACAGGCAGGCTGGGCTCGATGGATGGGGACTGCGGGTTGAGCGAGGCAGGTATCCAACGGTGCGGTCCTCGGCGCCACAGTAGCCGAGGCAGCTGCGATACCAATTCGTTTTGCACGCTATGGACGCACACGGGAATGGCGGTGGTGGAGGAGAGTGTACCAATTGATCGATCCGCGTGGCAGAGACCGCGCCTGGCCCCAGCTTTGGATTCACTCCTCTCGCCGTCTCCTCTCGAGCCCTGCCTTGTTTGCCTTGTCGCACTGGCCTGAACAGCATCAGGTGGAGGATGATGTCATTTATTGGAGGAGGTGGTGGAGAGGATTTTTCGACATCGGGGCCGGATTCGCGCTTGCAGCTGCATCCCACAATGCCGCATCATCGTTTCACCGCAGTCCCGCGCGGGGGCGTATGAGGCTCGGGGTGGTGGCGGAGACGTGGAAGTGTAGGTGCGGACGGGAAACGATTTGCACTCTGCCCCGTGCCTCGCTCCCTTTTGTATGTTTTTTTGCTCTCCTGCCATTTATAATATGCCTCCTCCCTGTCCCTTCTGGTCTGACAGCGCCTGCTGGCGTGGGCGCCCGTGTGCCGCCCCCCCCCCCCCCCCCGCGCGCCGCCCGAGGCGGGGCGGGCTGGCCAGCGGCGCTGTAGATCCCAGGTTGGGCCTGAGAAGTTGGCGATATTGAGGTGGTGGAGACGGAGAGGACGAGGTAGGGTGGATTGCGACAAGGGGGTCGTTATGTTGCGCTGGCACCCCCCCAAATTGAGCCGCCATAGAGGGACCTGGCCTTGCCAGGTCGGTACACCGTTCAGTAGGCGCTGATCGGAGGCGCTTTTGCGCCGTGCCCGCTCGTTGGGGAGGGAGCGCTCGAGCAGCTGACGAGGAGTTGAGGATGAAAAGAGGAGGAGGTGTAGGAGTGTATGGGAGTGGGTGTTGGCTTGTCCCCTGCTTTCTTTTTCGCTTAGCCCCTCCTCCCCGCGGCGCTGGCCGTGGGGCGGAGCCGGATTGAGGGCTACAGACATCGTCTCTTTCAGCCGTGAGCAGCAGCAGGATGAGGAGGGGGAAGAGGAATAAGACAAAGATGAACGGGAGAAACAGGACGAGGGATAACTGGAGCAGGAGCCAGGAGGAGCAAACGAACGGCGTGAGCATGAACTTACGTGTGTGTGTGTGTGTGTGTGTGTGTGTGTGTGTGTGTGTGTGTGTGTGTGTGTGTGTGTGTGTGTGTGTGCGTGCGTGTGTGTGTGTGGGGGGGGGGGGCACGGGAATGAGGAGGGGAACGTCGTCCGGCTGATTAGCAATGAAGGGACCTCTAACCCTGTGGGGAGTGGACCTCAGTTCAGGGCACCCCCCAAACATTAGGAAGCAGGTGTCTCCTCAGCAGGTGTACCCAACAAAGCCATACAGACTTATCCCCAGTGCAAAGACGGGGACCTAAGTTAGGCAACGGCTTCATAGTGTTGTAAGGGTTAAGGGTTATTTGATTCTCGATAACCTGCATACTGGACTGGCGAAATTCCCAGTTCCGAGCTCCGATCAGTCGCTGGCCGAATTTCGGGAGATTCCTCCACGGCGCTCAGACCAAAATTTGTGCGCAGCGGAAGTTCCTCGAAATTCCCAGATCCGAGCCCCGAGCGGGCACTGGCAAAATTTGGTTGTAACTCCCCCCACGGCGCTGAGACATGATTTTAGCGCGGAGGAACTCGGAATGCCTCGGGGTCCTGGCCGCACCCATGGTTGCCCTTCTGCTGGGTTTGTCTCTCGATTGGGGGTTGCGTAACGTGATAGCCTGCCTGCCCTTCCCAATCCGTGCACGCCTTTTCTAGTGTTTGCTTCCCCTGTGCGTGGGCATCATGTACAGGCTTGTCCAGCGAGCGAACGATGAGGGGGAGAGGGGGTGATCCGTGGTGGGTGGTTGTTGCTCGGGCCGCGTCGATGTCAGCTCTGGCACAGGCCCTCCGGAGACGAGAGCCACGGCGTGTCCGCGCTGCGTATTGCTGCCCAGGCATCACTCCGCGAGCCGTCCCAACGAGCAGCCCTGCACAGAACGCGCGCATGCGCACCCTTCATACCCACTTGCCATGGTGGTCCTGCCCCCTGTGAAGGCGAGGGGAGCCAGTCAACAGAGCCCCACCCCACCACCTGCCACGCCCACAGTAGCAACCTACATTACGGTCCTCCCATATGGGGTCCGAACAGATGGGGTCGAAGGATTGCACCGCGTCGCCGGTTTATCGGCGATGCATCGGCGACGCGGCAAGACTCTCCGAACCCATGTACTCGGATCCCGTCAGGGAGAAGCCCTAGAGACACGCCGCCACCCATGTTTCCCCTTACGCTCTGTTATGCGAAGCCCGGCTCCATCCCTCTGCGACACCCCGAAAAAACTGCATGTTCATATTGCACCCCCTCCGTGTATATTATTTTT